TTTTTTTTTTTAAATTATTTGTCTACGAGAATTTTCGCTGTATCAACTGCGAAATAAAACACCTTATCTATTTTACTATGTAACTTTGTCGTGATTTGATTATGAGTTCAGAGAAAGAATATTATCATAAAATGATGTATCCTCAACATTTATATATATTAAAGTTTACAATTATAAATAATTATATATATCGCACGAAAATTACATGTGTAATATTTTGAACAGATTATCAATTTTACCAAAACAAGTACATCATTTATGATATTTATATAACGATAATATTTATATGATGACTATATAGTAAAATAATATTGCAAATGTAATATTTCAAATAGAGAATCTGAAGAATATTTCATTCGCGACATTTTGAAAAATTTCAAATAGAATGTTGCCAGAGTATTTCATATGAAACGTTCAGAAAGATTTCAAGCAAAACGTCTCTAGATTATTGCAAGAAAACTGCAAATGTAATATTTCAAATAGAAAATCTGGAGAATGTTTCATTCACGACATTCTGAAATATTTCAAACAGAATGTTGCCATAATATTTTATATAAGACATTCAGAAAGATTTCAAGCGAAACGTCTCTAGATTATTGCAAGAATATTGCACATGTAATATTTCTAATAGAAAATCTGGAGAATATTTCATTCACGACATTCTGAAATATTTCAAATAGAATGTTGCCAAAATATTTTATATAAGACATTCAAAAAGATTTCAAGCGAAACGTCTCCAGATTATTGCAAGAATATTGCACATGTAATATTTCTAATAGAAAATCTGGAGAATATTTCATTCGCGACATTCTGAAATATTTCAAATAGAATGTTGCCAGAGTATTTCACATGAAACGTTCAAAAAGATTTCAAGCAAAACGTTTCCAGATTATTGCAAGAATATTGCAAATGTAATATTTTAAACAGAATGCCTATAGAATATTTCAAATGAAATATTCTATATGTAATATCTCCAACAGTTTGCAGNATTATTTCAAATAAAATATTCTGCAAAAGACATTTGAAATATTCTGGCGACATTCTGGTAAAATTCGGTGCTGTGTGGGTATAACATCATGAGTGACAACGATTTCTTGCATTTCTTCATATGCAATTATATTTTTACATATTTTAAACATCACATAGCTGAACTTCTTTTCTCAGTTATTGGACAATTTCTTTGTGAAATTAATTTTGCAAATATATTGCTAAGATGATTCGCCATATCGTTATTCTTTTGTCAAAATAGTATTTGGAAAGTAATTTTGCAAACAACTACAAATATTTCAGAAAAGATCAATGTTTTTACATCTATTTTCTAAAATATGTCTGTATAATTGCAAATTACAATTTTAGTGCAAGATTTCGTCACATAATTTTGTAGATGTTTTCCTATCAGATATATTACGTATTCTCTTTTATACTAATTCGATGTTTTTTTGGTCTGTCATGTAGCGGCAAAAACTTTTAACATACTGTCTACGGAAAACAGTATAATTATTGATTGGCAAAACACTTCGAATGTACGTATATATTTTGCTATTTATTTAACAGTAATTTTATATTCAATGGAAAATGTATTAAATGTTGCATGTATCAAAGTAATATTTAGATTCGATTTTTTTGTACACTAGCAAATTATTATAATTTGATTTTTTTCGTATACTAGCAAGTATTTTCATGTCCAGCACATTGGTATTATGCAACTCTCCAAAATGAAAATACAGGCGAAAATATTAGTAACTCAACAGTTATCACTTTTCCCCATGAAGTGTCACATTTACCATCATATACTCCTTTTAACGTGATTGTAATGCATCCGCGACTTGTTCATACAATCATAAAACAAAGGAATTACCTGTTCCATACTCAAATTCGTACATTACGAAGCGGTAAGTTTTTATGATGGCTACAATACAGTACAGTAAGCAATATTTATAAACGTATATTTTATATATTATAAGTATGTTTTTCTAATATCTGTATTTTATAAATATCATTAGTTTCCACAAAAGTATTAGATATTCAATATGTTGCGAACTCGAGCACACAAGTCACTTTGAAATGGAATTCTCCAGATCACTTAACCATAGTGCTGTACAAAATAACATTAAAGGTAACTTTATGTAACTTGTAGTTATATGTGTTCAAATATCGACATATATGTAATCA